CCTTGCCCCCCACACCCTGACCCTAGCCAGTAATGGGCCCGATCACCCGCTTGCCCGCCCTGAGGGCTCTGCACTGACCAGTGGAGTGGAGGCTGGAGAGCTGCATCTGAGGTCTGGTCTCCTGCTGAGACCCTCGGCAGCCCTGCCCCGCCCTGCCCTGTGGGATGTAGCTCTCCTCACCTTTGTAAAGGCTGCAGTTCCAGTCCCCCCTTTGCCCTTTCCTGGGGCCACTCTCTGCGCCTCTGGGAGCTCAGCCTTGTCATCCTTGGTTTGGAGACAGAATGTCTCAAAGGCCGTAAGCCCGTGTCATCTGGAAAGACGCATGCCCCGTGGGGTCAGGAGTAGACAGGGCACCGGCGGGGGCAGGACTTGGCCCAGGGCACAGGCCACGGTGACGAGCCAGGGGACGGGGTGTCCAGAGGAAGGTGGCTCTGAGAAGGGTGGCTGTTTGTCCCAGTGTAGGTGGCCTCTGGGATCACCTACACACAGACCTGGAGAACAGGAACGATTCTTGGAGCTGGATCTCTCCTCCCAGCATGTAGCGGGTGAGGCAGGCGGCCAGGCGGCCAGGCTGCGCCCCTGCCTGTGCCTGTCCTGTAGGAGAACGCACACCAGCCTCCCACCCGTCTGCCTCTGCGTTAAGCTCAGAGTGTGCACCCTGACCTTGTCATCGTGCACAAATCCCCGTGTGGGTCTGGCCCATTCAGGCTGAGGCGCCAGCCTCCCTGGGGGCCGGTAGTAGTGGGTAGTGTAGACACACGTGGGAGTCCTTCCTGTCCCAGGCTCCCTCAGGTGAGGGGCCCCGTGCGTTCTGTTGCCGGCTGGTGGCAGCCTTTCCAGGTTCTGAGAACGAAGCCACCGTGAGTGTCTTACACAAGCTTCGTGCGGGCACGTTTGTGTTTCTGCGCGTAGCTACCCAAGAGGCCGTGGCCACGGGCAGGGCCTCGTCCCGTGAAGGGGGCAGACTTTTCCGTAGCGTCCACGAGAGTTTCGAGCTCGCCTGGTGGGGTGGGCCTTCCCGTCCCCCTAGGAGTGGGTGGTAACCACACGATGTTCGGCTTCGGCGTGGTCTTTCAGATCGAGATAAAGTTCACACAACGTAAAATTCACCACGTTGTCCGCCTTCACGTGGGCGTTTCTGTGCTTGGTGGCGTATCCTGCAGTGTGCGCGACCATCCCCGCGAGTAATCCAGAACGTTCTGTCGCTCCAAGAGAACTCGTACGGCCGTCAGCAGCCATCCCGTCCCCTGGCCCAGCCCCCGGCAGCCACGGGTCTGCTTTCTGTCCCTGGACCTGAACTCCTCCCGTACGCGGAGCCGCGTGGTGGGAGGCCCGTGTCCGGCCGCGTTCACCGGTGCGACGCCGTCGCTGTGCTGTCGCCACCAGCTCCTTCTCGAGGCTGCGTGGTGCTCGCCGTGGGCTCGGACCCCACGTCGTCAGACGCCGGCCGTTGGGTTGTTGCTGCCTTCTTTGTGTTAAAAACGTGTGTTTATTTTGAGAAAAGTCACCGGAGCACGAGCCAGGGAGGGGCGGAGAGAAGGGAGAGGGGCCGTGCTGTGTCAGCACAGAGCCGGACTTGGGACTGGATCCCGTGAACCGTGAGATCATGACCTGAGCAGAAATCGAGAGTCAGACGCTTCACGGTGCTTAACCGGCCGCCCCCAGATGCCCCCGTTGGGTTGTTTCTGTTTTGTGCCTTAAATAAAGCTGCAGTGACCTCGGCTGTGCAGGCTCTCGTGTGGGCCTGGGCTCTCGTTTCTGTCAAGGGCGCCCCATGTGCAGGTGCAGGGGCGCTGGGGGCAGCTGGTACCCGGGTGGGGCTTTTCTGAGGGGCCGCCCCTGCTTTCCTCCTTTTCCAGGGGCTTTGGGTGCCCCAGGGCGGGCTTGCTGTTCCCTCTCTGACACCGTGGGGCCACCCCAGCTGGGAGGGTGTTGCTGCCCCCGCTCCGTGAACCTGTGTGCTCCCTCTCCTTCTAGCCACCCAGGTGGACCCAGGTGACCTCCAGGAGCTGTTCCAGCAGACATCGGCCAGCGTCTTCCGGATCAACTCCAACGGTGAGTCCGTGGTGGGCCCAGCCTCACCCCTCCCCACCTGGCCGCCCGGGCCACCGAACACGCCCCAGGAGGTCGAGGCGACTGGGGGAGGTGGCGTGCCCACTGCCCTCCCCTGACCCGGCCACCCTGCAGCCCAGACCCTGTCCTCTCTCTTAGGACAGCATGGGCTGAGCCCTGGGGCCTCAGGGCGGGGCGGGGCGGGCCCGTGTGTGCTCCCTGGCCCGGCTGCTGTGATTTGGACGCATCCCCGGGGGGAGGGCGGCCTCAGAGCCTCCCTCAGACGGGCAGTGCAGGTCGGCTCACGGGTACCGGGTCAGGAGCGACAGTCACGCCTCACGGGGCTGGGCCAGGCCTTATCCTTATTAGCCTCCTGGAGACGGGGTGGCATGGGGCGTGGGGGGGGCGGGGGAACGGGAGGCAGGAGGGACACAGGGACATTACACAGGGGTGGCGGCTCGCCACACTCTGTGGGTGAGGGCTGATGTTTGCCCAACCCTCCTGTCAGGCTCCGGGCCTGCCGAGTGCTGACCAGGAGAGGAGAAAGAGATCCCCAGACCCAGGGGCCCTGGAGGCTGAGGGTTCTGAGGCATGCCCCAAGAGCCTTTATGCCTCCACCAGGCCTGGGGGGCCTGTGCCCCAATGTGGGAGTGGTCCCCTGCCTGGGAAAAGTGCTGGCGGGGTTGGGGCTGGGCCGGGCAGAAGCTGCCCCCAGTCACCTGGCTGGTCTCCTGGCCTTGGTTCTCATGTCCCAGTCTCCCCGCCCTCCTCTCTGCTGGAGTCTGGGGTCTCCGGGAGGGCCTTTCTGTTCCTTATGTCCTCCTTTCTCCTGGCAGTGACTCCTCCTTGAGCAGAGAGCCTCCCGGGCGCTGGGGGGACACCGAAAGGACACGAGGAGCTGAGGGATTGTGAGTGTGTAAGTGACTGCAGGGAAAGGTGGGTCATGCGGCCCGGTGTGTCTCTGCACCCTCAGCAGACGCCTGCCTGTCCACGCCCCTGCAGCAGGCTGCCCGACCCCACACCTGCCCCACTGAGGCTGCAGCCCAGCTGGGGCCCTCTCGCCAGCCCCAGGTCGCTGCCAAGTGTCTGGCCACTTGGGGGAATTGCAAGCCACCTGCACGTAGTGGACAACACGGGCTGCCAGAGTGCCTTTGTTTTGACTCTGACCTCAGGGGCTCCTGCTGGGGTTGCCTAGAGGCCGGCCCTGGGTCAGATGGGTGAAGCTAATGGCCTCCGGGTGAGTTCTCCTCTCCTGACGGAAAGGCTTCTCGGGCTGGGTCCCTGAGCATGAAGGGGACCTCTGCAGGGGTGTTGGAGCCAGCAGGGGGGCAGCTCTGCTTCCTGCCACCCCTGGCCTGGCGATGCGGACAAGGCCACACGCGGGTCCCGCATTACGGGGTTGGGGCACCGGTATGGGTCCGAGACTTGCAGTGAAGCCGGTGTTCCCCCTGCCACCTTCTTGCCAGGGGACTCGGTGGTCCCAGCCTGAGCCTCCTGCCTGGGAAAGACGACGGTGTGGATGTCGAGCAAACGCAAGCCGGGGGTGTAATGCCATCTCATCATGCCCTTCCTGGCAGTGATGTCCGTTGGAGAGGTCACGGCTCCCTCTGTCTGTTTATTCACCCACCCATCTCCACTGCTACCGCCACCATTGTCCTCCGGCCGTCCCTACGGGCTGCCTGAGACCACTCCGGCCAAGCGTGGGGGTCCAGAGCCTGAGGCAGCTGAGGGCCCTTGCAGATTTTCTGTGCAACTCTTTGTTTAATTATTCTTTTTATTTCTTTTTTAAAATAACGTATTGTTTTCTGGTTGTGGAAGTAGCATATGCTCATTATAGGAAATTTGGACACACAGGATGTCTGAGGAGGCACTGTTAACATTTTGGTATTTCCTGCCAGCCTCTTCCCAGATCCTTACGCGTCTTGCAGATTTGGATTTCAGTGAATAATGTTCCGGTCCCGCCTTTTGCTGTTAGGGTTCTGGGGTGCGTGTGCCCTTCATCACACACTAAAAACACGTTCTGTGGAGCCGCGGAGGACACTGTCCAATGTGCGTAGTTACTGCGCTGAGACCTGGAGCCGTATCTGTGGCTCTTCCCGCTGGTCAGCTGCATGACCAGACCCCGGGAGGGCGCTGGGGTTGGTCTCTGTGTTTGCCTCTTCCGGGGTAGGTCCCTGAAGTGGTGTCCCCTGGGTCAAGCGATGGCATTTTCAGGGCCCCTGGCCCTCGAACACGTTTCCTGGGCTGTGTTGCCCAGCTGGCCGAAGGCCGATGTCACCAACGTGGGTCTGGAGTGGAGAGCTGGCTCCTGCCTTCCCGGCCGGACTCTGGGCCTGCCCGCGGTGACTGAGGGCTGTGGGGGCCCCTGCCCCATCCGCCTCCACCTTCAGATGCAGCCACTCTGGCCTTTAGCACCTGCCTGCCCCGCACCCCCTCCCCTGACCATACCCACCCCACCCCCCACCCCCATCTGGCTCCTCCTCCCGAGGGGCAGTTCCCAACCAGGCTACAAGCCTGGAACCTTCCAGGGCCCCATTCATCGTGGACTGTTAGTGTTTTCTGAACGATGGAGACCAGCATAGGGGGCCAACCAGCTCTGTTTTCTCCACATCGACGTTCATTGGCTTTTTTATTTTGCCAGATAAGGACATTTTAAAAAGTCCATTATGGCATCCGTTATCGCCATCATTTTGTGGAAGGCAAGACATTTCAGTGCGACGGAAGTAGATGGGATCCGGTCTTGGGAGAGAGGACGTTCCTTCAAGATGAATAAAGCTAGTGACCTGTGAACCTCAGGGCTGAACGTGATTTTCTCGCCTTGCACGAGACAGGTGTGGACTTGGCCATCTTTGTCGGGACCGTGAGGGACCCTGCCTTGGGCACACCATCGTAGGCTCCCAGGTTGGCCAGGGTGGCCGAGTTGTAGCTCTCTCTCCCCCGTGGTGTGAAGCTAGGTGACAGCGGGACCTGGTTTGTCTGTCTCTTGGGGGTGTCACCCAGAGTGCTGTTGGACAGATGGATGGTCATTCCAGGAGCCCTGACGGGAAGTCTGCCCGCGGTACCCTCAGCCTTGAAATCACGCAGCGGGGCGGCCCTGGCTCCTGTCTCTAGGGCCCCAGGCACAGCGTCTGGATGACCTAGCTGTCGTCAGCCTGGGTTCGCAGCCGACAGGAGGGCCCCCAGCTCCGGTGCTCTGCTGGTCCCGGCTCCTCCGAGCAGGCGTGGGGCTGGGCGCACTGGCCGAGTCCCGTGGTGGTCGACGCCCAGACAGGCCCTCCCCTCTGATTCTCACGGCGCCATCTGTGAACGGGCCGTGGGCCCCGGCCTCGCTACGACGGAGCGAGGGGGTGCCGGGGCACTGGAGGCTGCAGTGAGCCGGGCTCCGAGCGAGGACGAGTGTACCCAAGGAGCAGAAAGCAGACGCAGGTGGGCGGCCCTGCCTGGGGTGCACAGGGGGGCACGCCAGCCCCCGCTTCCCACCCTTCCACCTTCACGGGGGGCATCTCTTCTTCCGGAGCCCGCCTGGTGCCGCCTCCCTCAGGGGCTGCGACTCAGCATCCTCCACCAGAAACACCTGGCCTCTTGCGTCCTGCTCCCATGACCACAGATGGCCCCGGGCCGTTGTTCGGGTAGAGGCCTGAGCCCGTGAAGCAGGGGACCCTAGGGATGCATCGGCCATCCCGCCCTCCAGCACGGCCTGCCTCTTCTACTCCAGAACCCCTCCCTCGGCGCACCCCCACAACGCCCCATGGTGCTCTCCCCCTGTTCCCCGTCGCACCCCCCAGCACCCTGCCGCCTCTGGAGCCTGGTGCCTGGGCCGGCTTGGCCCTAGACCCATGTGCTGACGGGCTGCGGCAGTGGGGCGTGGGGAGGGCCAGCCTGTCCCCTCCCGGCTGCGTGACAGGCCCTGTAACCTGGGTGGGCCCGGACCCTTCTGGGTGATGTCCTGTTGGAGGAGGCAGTGATGGCGTCTGCGCCTGGTGCCGGGCCCGGCCCCACAGAGATCCAGTCAGGCCTGGCTGCAGCCTGATGGTGATCCAGGGGGCGGGTGCAGGGGGTGGGTGCACAGTGGGAGCAGAGGGTGGTGTGGGGAGGGTGGCAGTGCTCCTGGAGGCCCTGGCAGCCGCTGGGCCCACAGCTCAGGGTCCCTGCCGCAGTCGCCAGAGCTCCAAGCCCCTCCCTCCCCGTTGCTGGAGACGGTGGCGTCTCGGGACTGAGGCCCGTGTGTGGGCGCTCACCAATCCACCGGGTGTGTTGTGGGGTCTCCGCCTGGAGACGGGCTGGATGGGGCAGGTGTGCGTGGGGGTAGGTTGGGTGGTGTGGGGCCCTGACCCGTCCTCACGGGGGTCTCGGCAGTGCCCCCTTCCCTTAGTAACCGGGCCGTCCCACCTGAGTCACAGGTACACAGGTGCACATTTGATAATGGAGGCCACGCCTGGCGGGGGCACCTGATGGGGTGCCGAGGGCCCGGTCCCATCCCTGCAGCCGGACTCCGTTCGCGCCCCAGCCCCGGCGGCCTCCCTCCGTCTCCCTGGGGGGCTTGCACCCTGAAGGAGGGAGGTGACCACCCAGTGTTCCGTTCCTAGTGTGTGACAGAGGGGACCCTCTCCCTGGGGCTTTCTGACTGGCTGCCTCTGGTCTGCGGGGCTGTTGCCTCACCCTGTGCAAGTCGAGGTGGCCCTGAGCGGGGGTGTCTGTGAGAGACGTCTGCCCAGCTGCCGCCCAGGGTGCAGGGCCGAGGCCCGGGGTGGGGGGTGTGCAGGGAGGGGGTGGGGCTCTTGGCCCAAGTGAGCAGCCCTCCCTCTTCTCCCCACGGCAAGGATTTGTGTGTCAGGATGGGCACCCAGGGGACCAGGGGGGCCTGGATCAGGGTGGTCCGCACCACGCGGGCCGGGGCTCTCGGAGGGGCTTCGTGCCGACGGCCCGGTGCTGCTGCAGGGGCACTGGACAGGCTCTGTCCCTCCTCTTCCCAGAACTCAGACCACCCGAGCTTTTGACTCCAGCCTTTCCACAGCTGCACAGATGCCGAGCTGGAGTTTGCTCGAGAACCGGGGGGGGGGGCGCCCAGGCGCCCGGGGCGCCCTCTGCAGCCCGTTCTCTTACCGCTGATCTGTGATGGACCCTGATCACTTGGGCTGACCGGAGACCTGCCCCTGACTCCTTGGAGCTGCCTCTGGGGTCGGAGCCTCACCAACCAGGTCTTTTTTTTTAAGCACATGAGGAAACTGAGGCTGGGGAGGGGAGGGCTTTCTCGGGGCCACGGAGCGAGAGCAGAGCTGTGGAAGACTGTTCCCCGGGAAGTGGACGTGGTGTGCACCTGTCATCTTGGGCCTGGAGATGCCATGGGGACTTGGACGTGATGTTGGGCCCCGTCTCTAGGGGAAACCGAGGCCAGTAGGACCGAAAGCCACAGAGCTGGTGCACCACAGGTTGGCAGGGCCAGTGAGGAGGCCTGTGCTGCCTCCAGACGTCTGGGACTCTGCCGGGAACACTCAGAGCTGAGGCGACGCCACAGCTGGGGCTGGTGCGTCTGGAAGCTTCTTTACTGACGATGGGCCCAGCCAGGGTGGCACCCGCAGCGTCTGCACACGGTCTCTTGTGGCACGGCGGCCTCACGGTGCTGCTTCAGCACAGGACTCCACGCAAACGCTGCTGCAGAGACGGTGGAGGTGAACCCCCTGGACCAAGGAGAAGGGACCCGCTCCACCTCAGGGGGAGTCTCTCTTTCCAAGCTGCCACACGCTGTAGAGCACAGTGGTCGTGGCACGTTCGAGGAGCCAGGAGGAGGGGCCTGCAGCCGAGTGAGGTGTCCGTGAGGTGGGCACAGGACCTTGTAGGCCTGGCAGATGGCTTGGGCTTTATTTCCAAAGCAGCGGAAAGCCAATGGAAGGTTCTAGAAAGCAGAAGGCAGTGGCGTGATGGATGCAGGCTGTCACTGTGGGTGGAGGGAGCCCTGGGCGGCGCCTGGAGAACTGCCCCCTCAGCCTGGCAGGTCAGGGGCTGTGGACAGACCCCTCCACCCCAGGCAGCCAGGACCCCGGAGCATCCCCGACGACCAAGCAGCTGTGAATTATGCAGTGCTGCGGGAGAGGCTCACCCCTACCCGCGGGCTGGGTACAGCCAGGCTTCCAGGCTCGGTGAGCACGTGCTGGGCACGTGGCTGGGCCCATAAAGCACGGGCTGTTTCCTCCTGGTCTCCCCGAACCTGCCCGAGGGCACAGCCCCAGGATGGCGGAGCCCCCTTCTGCCTGGGCCTCCTGGGGCTCTTGGATTTCGTGGGGAAAGGGGGCAGGAAGGGGAAGGGGTTTTTGAAAGTATCCAGGAAGGACTGGGGAAGGTGCACGGGGACTGACTGTCGGATTTGGCAGAAGGGAAGGTCCCCGTGACCGTGAGAAGGCACGGGGTGCGTCACATTGCCCCACGTTGTGGCACAGACCCGTCCACTCCTGCGTACGGCCGAGTGATCTTCCATTGTGTGGACACACCCTGCCGTGGTCCCGATGCTCGTGCCCCTCCAAATCCTTAGGTTGGAACTAAGCCCAGGGGGACGGTGTCGGCAGGCGGGGCCTCGGGGAGGCGAGGAGGTTCTGGGGTGGAGCCCTCGTGGGTGGGGTTAGTGCCCTTGGGAAAGGACCCAGAGAGCTCCCTCGCCCCTTCCACAGACTTGTCTGGCTCCCTGAGGCCGGGGGGGGGGGGCACCTGGGTCCTGCGGGCTGCCTGCTGTGTGTCCCGTCCCGTGCGCCCCTGAGGTTAAGCCCCTGGGAGTGCCGCATGGGTAGGGGTCCTGGCTAATTTATTTGGTTTGATGATTATCCAGTTCCAGCACCGTTTGTTGGGAGGATTTTCTTTTCCCTGTTGAATACTTGGGCACCTTTTTCAAAACTTGCTGGACTTGGTCTGTGCGGCTGTGTTTCGGGTTATTCTGTCTCATTTACACGTCGGTCTGTTCGACGGCACCACGTTGTCTCCATCACCGAACCTTTATAGGACGTTCCGGTGCCAGCTGTGGGCACCTGCAGCTTTGCTCATCTGCGGTTGGAGTTGTTTTGGACACTTCCGGTCCTTGGCATTTCAATATAAATTTTACAGTAGCCGGTCAGTGCCTGAGTTTTCAGTCCTGCTGTAATTTTAATTAAGATTGTATTGAATCTGTAGACCAGCGAAGGGAGAATTGACATCTTTATGATCGAGTTTTCCAACCCGTGAGCGTGGTCAGAATTTCTTTCATTTATGTACTCTCCTGTTTAGCTGTTCCTCGTAGGTTAGCGTGTGTTTGTCCAATTTATCATTAGCAATTTCATACTTTTTATACTGTTACACAAATTATTACTGTTTAAATTTCACTTTCCAGTTGTTGGCTACAAGTATGCAGAAATGCCCCTGATTGCGTGTCGCCCTGTGTCCTCAGACTTTGTTAGATTCTCTTTATCTGATTGAACAAGTTCCATTCTTTTTTTGAGTTTTCTTAGAGTTTTCATAGTGAATCGATGTTGAATTTTGACAACCGCTTTTTCTGTATAATGTATTGGGATGGTTTTCTCCTTTCAAAATTTTATTCTGTGAATATGAGAATTTCATTAATTGCTTTAAAATTTTTTTAATGCTTATTTTATTTTTGAGAGAGAGTGAGAGCACATGCATGCAAGTGGGCGGGGGGCAGAGAGAGAGAGAGAGAAAGGGAGAGAGGGAGGCACAGAATCCGAGGCAGGCTCCAGGCTCCGAGCTGTCAGCACAGAGCCCGACGTGGGGCTGGAACCCACAAACCACGAGATCATGACTTGAGCCAAAGTCGGACACTCAACCGACTGAGCCCCCCAGGTGCCCCTCATTAATTGCTTTTGGAATGGTAGGCCAAGCTTACGTTCCTCGGATGAACTCCTCTTGGCCACGATGTATCATTCCTCTTACGTATTGTTGGATTCAGTGACTCTGGTGTTAAGGGTTTCTGCTCCTGGGTTTGTGAGTGATGGGAGGTGTTTTTTCTTCTAGAGTCTTTGCTTGGGTTCTGGTGTTGGTGTAACGCTTGCCTCAGGAGAGGTGAGCAGTTCATCGGTGTTTGGGGAGCATGTGGTGTTGGTACAACCTCTGCTTTAAACATGTGGTGGAGAGGCCGTCTGTCCTTGGGTGTTTGCGGGAATGTTTCTAAGAACATATTTAAGTCCTCTGATAGAGACAGAGCTACTTAGGTTTTCCCTTTCTTCTGGAGTCAGTTTTGACGATTCGTGCCTTTGGAGAAATTTTCATGTCTTGTCTTAGTTATGAAATCTGTTATCATAATAGATTCATAAAACCTCCTAATAAACTTTTTCATGTTGGAGCTGGAGTCCTGTTCTCTCTTTTAGTCTCGGTATTGGTAATTTGTGAGTTTTTCCCTCAACTTGTCTAGACGGAGTTGTGCAGTTTGTTTTATTTTTGCATAGTTGACACGGTGTTTTGAGAGCTGTGCAGTTTTTTGGTACTTTCAAAGAATACCTTGTGATTTTATGGATCGCTTCTGTTATTGGTCTGCTGTACTTCATTAACTCCTGAGCTTCATCGTGTCTGTCGTGTCTCTCCTCTTCTACCTCCTTTGCGGTTGGCGGCTGGCTTCTCCGGCAGCCGTAAGACATTCATTTTCCGTCTTCCCTGCTGTGGGCAGGTGAGCCCCGCTTCCCCTTCCAGGGCCGCTCGCGCCGCGTCCGCGGCTCTCGTCCCTTGAGTTTCATTTCCTCCCGGTTTCCCTCTGTTCATGGCGGCACAGGTGGCCTGCATCAGACACCGCTCCGCGCTGGGTCTCTCGATCGGGTTCCTTATTAAGACAAGCAGCATGGAGGCGGGCCACGTCCAGACGTCCCTGTGGCCCTGGCTGCCTTGCCCTGACTGATGGCCGCCACCCCCCAGCCTCTGGGAGCCCCAGTCACTTCTGGGGTGTGCTGGTTGCCATCCCTCTGTTTGCCGGGGGCCTCAGCAGAGTGGTGTGGTGCCTGGGAAGGGCCGGGTTGGGTAGGGAGGCCTCGCTCGCTGCACGAGCGGTCGCCGTTCCTGGGGGAGACAGCTCACCGCCCCCAGCACGGGAAGCGGCCGACCGTCTGCTCACACTATTTCTGTGTTCTCGCTAGAGGCTCCGCGGAGCCGCGGGCATGGCTGGGCGGGAGCGGGGGCACTTTGTGACCCTTTCCCTGCCAGGAGTTTGGTGTTATCAGGGAGGGCAGAAGAGGAGAGGGCGGTGGGGGCG